CCCGCTTAATGAAGCACTCTGGCTGTCCCTTGGCAGAGTGGGTGCACTGCGTTGGGGGCAAATGCCCCTCGTCCAGACTGCCTGGACTCTTCAGAGCCACCAGGCAGGAAAGACTACGTCCACTGAACCATGGAGAATGTGGCCACCCCTCCCTGCAAAGGGCTCCATCCCAAGGAGGTCAGAGTTCTGTCCTTAAACCCCTGGCTGCAGTTGCTGAAATTCACACAGGGAGGCCCAGTCTGGTGAGGAGGGATGGATCTGGTTCCCACCTAAAGAAGCAATCTGGTCACGATCTGCCATAGCCGCTGTACTGTGGGGAATTCTTCCCAGTCCAAACTGCCCAGTCTCCCTGGTACCTGCAGGGAAAATTGCCGACTGGAGCTGCAGTGATGGCTGCAGCCCCTCTGCTCCGGGAATTCAGTCATCTTAGGCAGTCTCCAGCCTGCTGCCTAGAGTCTGCATAGCTATGTTCTTGGGACCCAAGGTCGTGGTGACGTGGGCTCATAAGGGGATCTCTTGATCCACAGGTTGCACAGATCAGTGGAGAAAGTGTGGTTTCCCAGGCAAGGTAGCACCATCACTCACCCCTCCTCTTGGCTGGGAGTGGGAGCTTCCCTCTTCCCTGTGCAGGTCCTCGGTGGGCTGTCACTCCACTCCACCCTGCTTTTCCTCACTCTGCATGGGTCCCACCAACCACCTAGTCAGTCTCAGTGAGAGAACCTGGATATCTCATTTGAAGGCACAGGATTCATTAGCCATTTTCGCTCTTTTCCTGTTTACTTTTAATTTAGAAATAAACATTGTACATTTTTATCACATGCAGCATTATATTTTGAAATATATACATTGTGGAATAGCTAAATGAAGTTAATTAACATATGCAATACTTCACATACTTATCATTTTTTTTTGTGGTGAGAACATGTAAAATCTATTCTCTCCACAATTTTCAAAACTACAATACATTGTTGTTAACTATAGTCACCGTGTTGTGCAATATATCTCTTGAATTTTGTTCTCTAATCTAACTGAAATTTGTATCCTTTGACCAAGGTCTCCTTCACCCTACAACCACCCCATTCCCCAATCCATGCTAACCACCATTCTACTCTCTATTATGAATTCAACTTTTCTATGAGTTTTGGGTCTTATATGTAAGTCTTCAACTTTTTGGGATTCCACATACAAGTGAGATCATATAATATTTCCCCTTCTGTGCCTGGCTTGTTTAGCATCATGTCCTCCAGGTTCATCCATGTTGTCCCAAATGACAGGATTTTCTTCTTTTTATAGTATGAATAGTATTCTATGTTGTATTTTCTTTATCCACTCATTTATTGATGAATACTCAGGTTGATTCCATATCTTGGCTATTGTGAACAATGCCACAGTGAACATGGGAGTGCAGATATTTCTTCAACATATTGGTTTCATTTCCTTTGGATGTGTACCTAGTAGTGTGATTGCTGGATCACATGGTAATTCTATTTTTTATATTTTGAAAAACCTCCATACTATTTTCCTTAATGGCTCTACTAATTTACATTCCCACCAACAGTGTAAAAGGGTTCTCTTTTCTTGACATCAGCTCCAATGTTTGTTATCTTTCACTTTTTTATAACAGCCATTTTAACTTGTGTGAGGTGATAGCTTTTAATTTGGATTTCTCTGCTGATGAGCAATGCCGAGCATTTTTTCATAGACCTGTTAGCCATTTGTATGTCCTCTTTTGGGAAATGTCTATTCAAATTTTTTGTCCATTTAAAAAATTGGGTTATTTGTTTTCTTGCTATTGAGTTGTTTCAGCTCCTTACCTATTTTGGATATGAATCCATATTGTATTTTCTGCAAGTTGTTTATTCACTCTTGATTGTTTCCCTTGCTGTGTAGAAGCTTTTTAATTTGATATAATCTAATCTGTCTCTTTTTGCTTTAGTTGACAGTGCTTTTGGGGTCATATTAAAAAAATCACTGTCAAGATCAATGTCATGACGTTTTTCCTCTATATTTTCTTATAGTAGTTTTATAGTTTGGGGGTCTTATATCTAAGTCTTTAATATGTTTTGACTTGATTTTTGTATATGGTAGGAGATAAGGGTCTAATTCATTCTTCTATAAGTGACTATCTGATTGTCCCAACACTATTTATTGAAGAGACTGTCATTTGCCCACTGTGTTTTCTTGGCATCTTTGTTGAAAATCAACTAACCATAAATGTGTGCATTTATTTCTGGGCTCTATTCTGCTCCATTGGCCCATATGTCTGTTTTTATGCTAGTACCACCTTATTACTATTATTATTATTTCTCAAGATTGCTTTGACTATTCAGAGTTATTTGTGAGTCCATCACATTTTAGGATTGTTTTCTGTTTCTGTGAAAAATGTCCTTGGAATTTTGATACGGATTCCATTGACTGTAAATTGCTTTGAGTAGTATGGACATTTTAACAATATTAATTCTTCTAGTCCATGAATATGGAATATCTTGAGACCATGAACAGGGTCTCTCTCTGTCACCCAGGCTGGGTTGCAGTGGTGGGATTGCCCCTCACTATAACCTTGTACTCCTGGACTTAAATAATCCTCCCACCTCAGCCTCCTGAGTATCTAGGACTACAGATGCATGCCACCATGCCTGGCTAATGAAGTCATCTTTTAAAATAAAATGTCTGGCATACAGGCTGGAACGTATGGGACAATTGGAGCAAGTTGGCAATCTCTGTCTTCATGTGGTTTCTCCACGTGACTAAATTGGGCTTCCTCATATATGGTGGACTTAGGGCCTGGTGACTGGCTTCATCCAGAATGAGCATTTCAAGACACCTGGGTGGAAGCTGCAAAGCTTCTTATGACAATCTCAGAAGTGCTGAAGTATCACTTTCTCTGAACTCTATTGGTTAAAGCAGTAACAGGTCATTCCTCACAGAAATAGAAAAAAAAATTAAAAATTAATATCGAAACCACAAAAAGACCTTGAATAGCCAAAGAAATCCTGGACAAAAATAATAAAGTTGGAAGCATCACACTAGCTCACTTCAAAAAAGTGACTACAAAAAAGCTTTGTAGTCAAAGCTATAATAGTCAAAACATCATAATACAATCATAAAAGCAGACACATAAGCCAGTAGAACAGAATAGAAAACCAAGAAATAAACCTACATATGTACAACCAACTGATTTGAGACAGAAGGGCCAAGAACATTCACTGGGGAAAGGAAAACCTCTTCAATAAATGATGCTGGGAAAACTGGATATTTATATGCAGAAAAATGAAGCTAGCCCTCTATCTCTCACCATATATGAAAATTAACCCAAAATGGATTAAGAATTAAATGACTACAAGACTTAAATGACTAGAAGAATGACTAGAAGAATTAAATGATTAGAAGAAAACATAGGAGAAATGCTTCAGAACATTGGCCTAGGCAAAGATTTCATGGAGAATATCTCAAAAACACAGGCAACAAAAGCAAAAATAGACAAATGAGATTATAACAAACTAAAAACCTTCTGCAAAGCAAAGGAAACAATCAACAGAGTGAATAGACAACTTGCAGAATGGGAGAAAATACCTGCAAACTATTCATCCAACAAGGGATTAATATTTAGAATACACAAGGAACTCCAACAGCTCAAGAGCAAAACAACAAATAACATGATTAAAAGTGGGCAAATGAGCTGAATAGACGTCTTTAGAAATAAGAAATACAAATGGCTAACAGATATATAAAAAATACTCAACATCACTAATCATCAAGGAAATGCAAATCAAAGCCACAATGAGATATCATCTCATTCCAGTAACAATGGCTGATATCAAAAACACAAAAATAACAAATAATAGCAAGGATGTGGAGAAAGGGAAACTCTTATACACTGTTGATGGGAATATAAATTAGTACAGCCATTATGGACAGCAGTTGTAGAGGTGCCTCACAAAACTAAAATTAAGCTGAGTGCAGTGGTGTGTGCCCATAGTCTCAGTTACTCTGGAGGCCAAGGTGGGAAAATAGTTTGAGACCTTCAAGTTGGCAGTGTGCAATGATCATGTGTGTGAATAGCCAATGCATTCCACCCTTGAGTCATGTGGCAACATAGTGAGAACCAATTCTTTAAAAAAATAACAAATAAAAAATAGAACTACAATATGATCCAGCAGTCTCACTACTGGGTATATATCCAAAGGAAAGGAAATCAGTATGTTGAAGACATAGCTATACTTCCATGTTTATTAAAGCAGCGTTCACAATAACCAAGGTATGGAATCAACCTACATGTCCATCAACAGATGGATAAAGAAATTATGGGGACTGGGTGTGGTGGCTCATGCTATAATCCCAGTATTCTGAGAGATTGAGGCAGGAGAATCACTTGAGGCCAGGAATCCAAGATCAGCCTGGGCAAAAAAGTGAGACCCCATCTCTTCAAAAAGGTTTAAAAAATTAGCCAGGCCTGGTGGCATGATGTACTTGTAGTCCCAGCTACTTGGGAGGCTAAGCCTGGAGGATGGCTTGAGGCTAGGAGTTTGAGGCTGCAGTGAGCTATGATCATGCCACTGCACTGTAAAAAAAAAAAGAAGTGAAAAGAAATTGTGGTACATATACACAATGGAATGCTATTTAGCCAGAAAAAATAACAAAAATGTCATTCATGGCAACATGGATGAGCTCGGAGGACATTGTGTTAAGTGAAATAATTCAAGCACACAAAAAAGATAAATACCACATGTTCTCACTCATATATGGAAGCTAAAATATTTGATTCATTGAAGTAGAGAGTAGAATGGTGGTTCCTAGAAGTTGGGAAGGGTAGAGGATAGTGAGGGAATAGCTAAAGGTTGGTTAATGGAGGAAGAAGCTCTAATGTTCTATAGCACTATAGGAGGACTATAATTAACAACAATTTTATTTATTTATTTATTTTATTATGTAAATTAAGCCATTTATCATAGACTAGTGATGTCTCAAATTGTGGAGCTTCTATTGGTCTTCCAATTTCTTCAGTATTCTGATGGCAACTTTACCATGACAGTAGAAGTGGTGTTATAGGTCCGGGCACCACCAGCTACCATTTCCATGCAGGAACCACAGTGCCAGGTTCCCACAGTTTGTCTCTTTATCTTGATTTTGCCACAGAAGGAGCAAGTCTCCTTGGCATGCTGGTAAATTAAAATTTTCTTCACTATTTTCTGGAGGGAGGTACCATAGTGGGTCCTGTATTTATTGATAATTCTGACTTTCTTATTAGCTTTAATCATTTCACCACCAACTGGGTCTGAGCCCAGACAGCAACAACAATTTATTGTATATTTTCAAATAGCTAGAAGAGCAGATATTGAATATTCCCAAAACAACAACAAAAAATGTTTGAGATGACAGATATGTTAATTACCCTGATTTGATCATTGCACATTGTATACATGTATTGAAATATCACCCTGTACCCCATAAGTAATTATTATGTCAATTAAAATTAATAATAAAAGGGAAAAAAGCAGTCATAGGTCAGCTAAGATTGGAGGTGAAAGAATAACCTCCACCTCTCAATGTACCTTGTATGGTCAAAGACAGAGGTAATTCATGATTTCACAAATTCATGTGTTTCTAGAATATGATTAGTTCATATGTGTAGAGAGACTGATGTCTATGTAACCGAGAAGTCATGTTTGATCAGATCAGGTTTCTCATGGGCAAGGGGAACCAGAAGAGCAGGAACAGAATCACAATTTTCAGCAGGAAAGGGAAAACACCACATCTCAGCTGCTGTTCTGGGACCAGGATTCTTTTAGCTGCATTTTAAGAAAATGAAAAATGACTGCCAGCACGAGGCTCTCTGGGGAGGCCCCCAGTGGTGTCCCAGCCTTGTGCCACTCTTGCTTGGTGCCTGTGCCCTGGGAGCTTCTGGCTTCGAGTTCCTTCAGTGTGCATTGTTCCAGCACCCCCAGCTCTGCTCTCACAAACCTGTGGTCAGTGTTTCCTCTCACTGGCTTAGGTGAATTTTTAGTCTCTACAGTTGTAGTCTCTAGCCATGCCCAGCTGCCTATCTGGAGCATCCAACCTACCAAGGATTGTTTTTCTTAGTGTTCTGGTTACAAAGTTGACTACATGTGGAGTGGTTTTCCCCACTTCATGTATCCCATAAGCTCCGTGACTTTTAGTGTTGATTTTGCAGAATGTGAGGCTTTTCAGTAATGTAAATTTTATATGATAGCAGAAAAGTCTGAACTATTTATTCACCATTCATATAAAGCACCAGCCCTTGGAGAGAAGCTGCTTCCATTCTTGGGGTAATATTCTAGACTGGTTTGGAACATTTTTTGCCACAAAGAAATGATGCTTTAGAAATCCTGGAGAAAGATATCAAAACCAACTTAAAGGAGAATCCTATTGGCCAAGTTCTGATAATTTAAGTATACAAAATAAAATAATTATAGTTAATTAAAATATGTTGGGTCATGGAAAGCCAGAGTCAACAGTATTTAAAGAAAAATGAGAGCTTTCTTTTAAAATAACACATGATATACTTGGATAGCATTTCTTCAAATGAGCAAAGATGTTATTAACTTTTAGTTGTATGAATAGTTCAGTATTGTAGATACACACATACACACACAAACACACACACACACACAAGTGGACAAAATACATGTCAGCCAAAGACTAAAAAGATTTTATGCCCAGATATGGGACGTCCTTGTTCATTATGGCAACTGAGATACATTCATCATATGCTGAATTATTAAGACAATCTGCAAAGCCTTAAAATTCACCAACACTTCCATATCACCTAGAAATTATAGGTAGCAGTAAAACATTAAGGTAGGAATTTGAAAAAAATAAACTGGCTAAGATATTTGCAGAAACTAGACTCAGACAGAGGTCTTGTCCTCAAGCTGTCATGAACATGAGATTATCAGGCAACAGAAAGATGGGACTCGTCCCCTTACTCTTGAGTGGACAGGCTCATGAAAGTACTTGCTTTCTTAAGCTTGTGGCCTGCCACTTACATTTATTTGATGGCATATTAATCTAGTGTAAAGCACTAATCAAATTCATCAAACCTTTTCACTCATAAGATGTAAGAACCCTTTCTCCCCCTTCTACATTTATCTCCCTTGGATCTGAAGGTACTCAAATAAAACGTGTATCCTTGAGTGGAGTGGATTTTTGTCTTTTAAACAGACAAATACATGGACATCTGCTTGCTGGCATTTATTTGCTGTTTTGTGATTCTAGCAGCTATTCCTGGTTACTCTTGGTTACTCCCTTGATTTTTTCCCCTTGTTGTGCATGGTCACCAAAAAGAACTGGACAAAGACTTCCCAGGAAGAAAGAGAGAATCTCAGGCCTCACACCCTGGACCACTGTAGAGGGATAGGGAAAAATTTTGTCCATCTAATCCCAAAATGACTTTATGGAACCTGAAGGGTTTTTAGGGAGGAACATTGAAAAGACAATTCATGTATGGCATTTGCTGCTCTTCAAGGAGAATAAGGTTTTAATGTTTCATATTTTGGGTTTGTGCCCAAAGGACCAAGACATATAATGGTTTTAGGAACATGTAAAGGTAAATTATACCAGAGATTTTCAAAAAGTATTTCTTGGACTAAAATATGCTGATGCAGAATTGTTAGGCTCATAAAAACGTGTTTGAGTTACTCTGATAAAGAAAAGGAAAGGGGGAATATGTTTTAATGAAAAAATTAAAAAGGAATATGTTTTAAAAGTCACTTATGTAATAACTAGAGACATAATTGAGACAAGTGAAACTAAAACAGAGGGGAAAACTGGGGTAAAGGGACTCTATAGAACTTAGGTAAAGTTTGAGGCAATTTGAGAGCAGAGTCCAAGGGTGAGACATTTTAAAAATCAGAAAGTGGAAGGCTTCAAATATCACTCACATCAAGTAATTTTAGCCAAGCTTATGGCAGGCATAGTGACAAGGATTTTTAAAATTTGTTTTTGCAAGAAACAAGAGGCTTGCTGAGAAATCTGCAACACCTACACTATAAACTGTGACATTTATGCCACGCTACCAGATGCTTCTTTTGGAAGTCTAAACAAAACAAACAAAAATAGTGGATGCTGTATATTCCTTTTTTCTCTGTGTTGATGGAATAGGAAGTAATTTTTCACTTTATGAAATACCTGCCAGCTCTGAGATGACTTTATGGACTCCACATTGGGAGTGAACTCTTTGCAAAACTGAATTTCACCTGAGTTGGAAGTTGGCCAATAGAAGAGTCTCTAGCAGATCTCAGTAAAGTCATGTGAAGCCTTGTTTCTTTTATAATACACAAAACGGTACAGTGGAGATCCCAGGGAAGAAGGAAGTGATAGATACTACTTGGGTGGAATGAGGTGAGAAAAACTCATGGAGGAAATAATCCACAAACAGCTTATTCAAAGAAGAGCCTCTAACCATGCCCAGCTGCCTATCTGGAGCATCCAAACTACGAAGGATTGTTTTTCTTAGTGTTCTGGTTACAAAGTTGACTACATGTTGAGTGGTTTTCCCCACTTCATGTACCCCATTTGCCAGGCAGATGAGATGGGACTTGGTGGGGAGGCCAGAGGTACCACCCAGAAAGCAGGCAGCAATATAGGCCAAGACATAGTCGAATGATATATATAGTCTGGTGAGTTTGTAACTGTAAGCAGTTATACTTGGTGCACCGGCTTGAACTTTGGATGTTAGGAATGGGGCAAAGCACCATGAAATACAATCTGGGTGGTAAGCAGGGACAGATGCTAGATGTCCTTGTACACTGCACTAAAGTTTGCTCTTTCATTTATTTAATGAATGCATGTATTAAGGACCTACTCAGTTCCAAGTCTTGGGGAGACAGACACAATTTTTTTGTTTGTGTGGCACTTACAGTATTAAAGGGGCAGACAGACATTAAACCTAATTAAACTAATTATTTATTTTTACTTGTGATAAGCTTTCATGTAGGGAGGCCAATGCTGTGTAATGACAGAATTTGTAACAGGGAAATCTAACTTAGTGTGGGGTCTGAGATGTCCTCCCTGAGGAGACAACAATATGGCAGACACCTAAGTGGGAATGTGTCAGCTAAAGGAGTGCTTGTTTGTGAAAAAGTGCTTTGGGCGGAGCAACATGGACAGGAACGGGGAGATGGACAGGCATGTGTATAACCAAGTACCCCCTCTTTTCTAAGAGAAAAAGAATGGATTATGTTTTATTTTTTTCCTTCTTTTCTCTTCCCCCTTTTCCCTTGTTCCTCACTTCTTAGCTCTTTATAAATGAAATTATAACCTTTACCTTCCCTTCACCAGACACTTCCTACAGAGCAAACTTATCTATTAGCTTGGTGCCAAGGTAATCTGGCAAAAGTAATGGCAAAAACTGCAATTACTTTTGCACCAATCTAATAACTATGCACCAGAGAGGGAATTCTCCCACCAAGAGATGGCCTCAAGAGACAACAGTCAATTTACAACCTGAAGTGTTCTCGCAACAGAGCTCTCTCTCACCTGGAGTGGATCTCAAGACGGTGGCCACCTTACAAACTAGCTCTGCCCACGATGGTGCCAGCTTGGTATATACAGCACCAAAGTGAGTCATGCAGACCCTACACCTGCTTGCTCCCTCTCCTGCATGCCATTCATGCCAAGTCCCTGCTTAAAAGCCTCTGCTTTCTGCCCCAAAAGTGAAGCGATATCCTTAAAGGCAGGAATCTGTACTTCTTCCCCTAAGCTATGCTTTGGAATTAAGTCACTTTCTTTATGTCAGACTCAATCTTGTTAATTGGACTCTGCAGGTGGTGAGTGACTGAACCTCTTTCAGTTACATGTGGAGATTTAGGGAAACAAAAAAAACTATAGTCAATGGATGGTCTCTACTCAGGGAAGCCACATAATCATATTTGCATTTTAGAAACCACCCCCTGGCTGCAGTGTGAGGAATAGTAAACAGATGTAGGGCGGGAGGTGTGATGGTTAATTTTTATGTGCCTACTTGATGGGTAAGTGATGCCCAGATGGCTGGTAAAACATGGTTTCTGGGTGTGTCTGTGAAGGTGTTTCTGGAAGAGATTAGCATTTGAGTCAGCAGCCGAATAAAGATTGCTCTCACCTATGTGGGCAGGCAGCACCCAATCCATTGAGGGCCTAAACAGAACAAAAAGGTGGAGAAAAGAGGGCTTTGCTCTGTCTTCTTGAGCTGAGACATTATCTCCTCCTGCTCTTAGACATCAGCACTCCTGGTTCTCAGACATTTGGACTTAGACTGCAA